AGCCCTAAACCCAACGCATACCCTAATTGCTAAGATGCTTAAAACTGTCCAAAAACAACCTTAAATCCGTAACCAAACTGTATAGCCCTTACTAAAAGTTAGTGTGCTTAATTTTCCCAAAAGCAACCCTAAGCCCTAAATCCGTTACAAAATCAAACGCTACTTTCAGAGTCTCCGATGCCTCGCATGGATTCCCGCAGTCGCTTTCCTGTGCGGACCAACGCGTCCTGGACCTCACCACGAAGGCTTAGGATTCAGGGTTTATGGGGTTCAGGGTTTCAGGGCTTTAGGGGTGTAGGGTTTAGGGCCCTATAACCCCTAAACCCCAATCTTAGGGCTTCAGGGGTGTCAGATCTAGTGTTTGGAGTCTAGGGGCTATTAGGGGCTTCAGACCTGGGGATGTAGCAGTGGCTTTGGCGTCGGGTTCAGAGATGGTCCTTGGAAATGGCGGTCAGGTGCATAGATCTCGGGGCCCTTGGGGGTATGAATCCGCAATCAGTAGCATCTTGCTTTAATGAAAGAGGCACCGATTTTGCTCGGTGTTCGCAGTTCGAGATGCCTCCCTGCGCTGTTCTACGCTGACTTGAGGTCGGTTAGGGGTGTATGGAGGCTATAGGTTGACCCCTACATCCTAAGCTCCTAAACCCTAAACGGCCCTAAACCCATGATCAACTGTGCAACCAAGACTCCCTGCAATGCGGGCTTCGTCCTTGCTAGGTAGGAGGGAAAGACCCATGATCATTAAGTCCGATGGAGCTAATGGTGTGATTCCAAAAAATGGGCCTGATCCTGTCTTCATCGCGAAGCACAGCACGCAAGTCTTAGCACGGGGTATGCCAAAGATTTTCCCATGTTGGTGCCGTTGTTCCTAGTCCTAGCTCTTTAAAAGCCCTACAAGCTCTTGTCTAGCCTCCTAAGCCCCAAGCCCCTCAACTCCAAACCTAAACTCAAACGCAAACCTGAAACCCAAAAGGCCTTCTGTGCGTAGCATAAAGACATAAAGACTGAAATCCCGAAAGCACAAACCTGACTTAGAAAGCTAACAAAACCCCGAGTGCACAAGCTGTAAATCCCTGAAACCAAAGCCCGGAAAAGCTTCTTTACGGGATCTTTCTACGTTCCTCTAAACGTTCTATCGGGCCTAACGCGGGGGTTGTAGAAGAGCTCTATATAGGGGTAGCCGCAACCCTTAAGCGTAGTATAGGGGGCCTCAATAATTGCGTGTACTATTGTTTGGGTTCCTGATTTTAGTTTTAGCAAAAGGGGCCCCAAAACCCTATTCAAATTATGAAGGCCCCTATATCATACCTTATAAAGGAACTATACTATAACCCTTATAGGACCCTCATAACCCTATTACCGCCGGGTCTGCAGCCTGGAATGGTGAGACTCCCATAGGAGAGCTTTTGCTGAGGCAGGCGCCCAGAGACCGGAGGACATGATCGTGAAGAGTAGAGAAGGGACCCTTCTACCTTTTTTGAAGAACCCTAAACCCTAAACCCTAAACCTAAGAGTAGAGAAGGGACCCTTCTACCTTTTTCGAAGAATAATAAACCCTATAAACCCGGCAAAGGTTGCATGAAGGGAAGAGTAGAGAAAAGGATCCTACAACTTTTTTGAGGGAAGTATAATATAGAAGCCTAAATGGGAGTCTCCGATAATTTGGGGTACCGTATTTTAGGGGTCCTTATAAGAAGGATCGTACTATTCAGCGTACTATATGCATTTTTGGGGTACCTCTACTCCAAAGGGGCACCAAACTCTGTTCTAAGTTCTAATTACGGAGACCCTTGCATTAACCTTTTTGGGGGAATTATAATTCCTATATACCTTCCAAAGGTTAGATAGCCCTTGGTTCCCCGTATCATACTGGACAACCAAGAGGGGTGTAGAAACTAGAACAGACTTAGCAAGAATTCAGGCCTCCTATAGGGTCATTACAGTGATTATCATGTTAATTGGTATCTGTCAGTTTTCATTAAGGTGAGATTATGGGAGGAGCATTGCTACAGGAGTTATACTTCTTTGGTTTTGGGGGTTTGGTAAGCATATATCATATAACTCATGCATAGTTATGTATCGAAATCTTCAGTGTGCAGGTGGGTTTCCTCAGACTTGGATTTCCGACCGAACCGTATCCAAGCATCGTATAGTCTTGCCAATCATACTAGGGTTTGGGATTTGTGCTTTGACATTTCCTCCGCAGGCGAAACGTCTTTAGCGTGCTCAGAGACGTGAGCTTGCTGCGATCGGTGGCGCTTGTGCGTCGGACAGAAAACGGATGTCACCAAAGCATTGAGCATTCCATCAGCAGAATCGCCTGCAACTTCTGTAGTTATCATCCCAGACACAATGAAGATAAACTGGTCTCTGGCGAAGCTTATACAAAAAAACGCATGCGATAATTAGTTCCAGTCGCGTAGGATTATGTGTGCTGTTGCCCTCACGAAGGTGTTTTGTTAGTGCCTTGAGGCTCCATGCCGCATCACGATGCCCTGTCCTCAAACCGGGCATCCGAAATGGTACAGCCCGGCCCTACCGTTCAGGATTCTTACCTTTGTCTAGTAGGGAATGGAGGATTGGGGTACAATTATAGCTACTATTACTACCATTCTTCCATTCCCTACTAGCCAAAGGTAGGGATTTCGGGGTTTGAGTCGCTGAACCCTAAGCCTAAAAACCCTGGAGCCTGACGCACATGAGACCCGCCTCTGATGACGACCCTGAGGATGTTCTGGCCGCAGAGATACTCAAACAAGATAGCGGCCTGGATAAGCAGAATAGGGTTTCCGTGATAAGGAATTCTTTAACACAAAGTTACCAGAAGGGATTGAAGGAGCAATAATTACTTGTTCGAACAAGATCGAACAGCATTTCGGGGCTGTTCTAGACATTATGTATGTGTATATATATATATATATATATATATATATATATAACTTATATAACTATCACATATGTGTTTATATGTATGTATGTATGTATGTATACAAAAAAAATATATATACTTATAAAGAAACCCTATCACATAACATTGGTCATAGCCAGGGCCTCCATTATGGAGGTGTGCTCGAATGCTGTCAAGATCTAGGCTGGAACAGTAAGTTGTCGATCTTAAGTTCCGGTAACATTTCGACCTCTACTACCCAAAGCGTCCTAAGCACCTAAATGGGGAAGACTGACTAAATCCGTCATAGCATCTCCTATTGAATTCCTACTTTCTACTATGTAGGTACTTAGGGCTCTTGAAGCTGGTGTCAACTACGAGAAAGACACTGGTTGTAGTAATGTCGGAGTTCCATGGTTTGACCAACAGACTTGTGACCTTAAACCCTGAAGCCCTTTCTCGAGCCCTGAAACCCTCTGGACGCCCCGAAGCAGAACCAGATACCCTGTAATAACAGTGCAGTTAAACCCTAAACCTTAACCCACCCTTAACCCTTCGAGTTGGGACGCCTTCCGGCGGACTCGGAGGTACAATGCATTGCTTGCCGCCACCAAAGTGGCTTCTCAGTGGGAGTCAGGGTCTCGGAAAAACCTGGTATCAGGGCTTAGGGTCAAGCCTTTGACTCTCATGAAAGACTTGGGAGAAATTTGACTTTCCCGGCTGACCCGGATGCAAAAGGGGTTTAAGGGTTTAGGGTTTAGGGTATCCGTGTAGGGTTTAGGGTTGAAAGGTTTTCCGGGGTTCGTTGATGTACCTCGGCACCTGTTGCTTTCGAAGGGCTTCATTGTGAATTGCGCAGCGGCTTACAGAGTTTTAATTTATAGTGGCTGTGTGGAATGCTTGGTTTCTTGCTAGTTTTTGTTGATAGCTATCACATGCCTATAGGCTATAGGGAAGGATGACCTGGTTTATTGGGCCCTTGTGGGAAAGGGCCCTTGTGGGAAAGGCTGGGGCTACGAGTTTAGAGTGTCGGCTTGTGGCTATTGGTATATAGGTGGGGTAGTTAGAGCTGTTGGGCTACAGTCTGGTCTGGTTCCTTGCATATAAGTAGCACTAGACGTCCTTGAAAGAATGGTTGATATGGTAGTTGCTGACGCATGCAAGTTTCACGGCTTGTGCTACTTAGCTCGCCCATCAGCAGCACCGTGGCTCATGTCTGGCGGCTCGAAGCCATTCAGATGTACTCCAGGCTTCCACGGCCTCAGAACCCGCAGACTGAACTTTAGACCCCGAATTTCCAACTCCCCAAACATCCCGAAAGCAAGAAACCTTAGAGCCCTGAGCCCCTGACCCTGAAGCCCAAACCCTTAGACGGGCAAACCCGAAACTCCACTCAAAATCCAGAAAACTGAACCTCCAAAGCCCGAGCCCTAAAACCCTCGAGCCCTTCACGCCTGAAATGCCCTACATAGACTCTCCAGGACCCGTATGGGAACTCTTGAGCCCGAAAGCCCTAGAGCCGAAGCCCCTATGCTAAACTCTAGCGCCCCGAACTGCAACCCCAAAGCCGAAGATCCCCAAAGACCGCCTTTCGCCCTATTCCGACCCTAAGCCCTACTAACCCCTAGATCCTCCGGGGATCTTCCGATAGAATTGGAACGATACTTGGAGGATCATGGGACTTAGTAAGTAAGGTTATAAGTAGGTTATAATCTTAGGATAACCCCACTTAGGGGACTTATAACCCTAATTATAACCTACTTACTAAGTCCCATGATCCTCTAAGTACTCACAGAGAAGATTAGCATGACCCCTGCGCAAGGATGACGTGCGCAAATCCAGAAGCGCCGAAACTCTAAGCCCTGCACTTTAAGCCTTACTCATAGGCTCCATTATGGTCTGGTTCCTTTTTGGGATAACCTTATGGGATCCTAAAGATGAGCCACACGAAGGAACTACTATGGAGCCTCTACTTGGAGGTTCGTGGGTAGTTATAAGTGAATTTATGAGTCCCCAAAAATGGGTTATAACTATGGTTACCCTACTCAAATAACCCTACTTATAGCTGCCCATGAACCTCCAGGCAGGTATGCCCTGACCCTAAGCCTGTGCGATGGACCCGCTGGAGCTGGAGAATGACTCACGCCGTGGCTTGAGCGACGACCTAAGATCTAAGGTTACAGGTTAGAGGTTTAGAGTTTTGGATGTAGGGTTTAGGGTTTAGGCTTTATGGGTTTGGGGGTTTAGGGTTTAGGGTAGAGGTATATTAGCCCTTTCAGGGGGATGAAAGTGGCCATTGAAGGTACCCTATAGGGTATATGGTAGCCATGGCTTCAACAACCTTAGATAACAGATTCGGCAGCGCCTGTCGTCTCCATTGTAGTTCCTTTTTCGGTGCAACATGTTTATTGTTCAGGACCCGAAATGTTATCCAAAAAGGAACTGCAATGGAGACTTTAGGTAGTGAGAACAATAACAGTAACATCTATATTACTAAGGGTCATCGCAATCTTAGCAGTAGCCGCACCAGGGTATTCAAAAAGCTGTTGTACAGGGTGGAGTCGTTCATTTTCTGATGTTGTTGATTGCGGTTGTTTTTGTTGTTTGGTTTCATGGGTGTTGTTTATAGAGTTGTGCAAGGGTTTCAGGATTCACGTTTTAGTTTGTATTCGTTTGTGCGTCTTGTGGGGTTGTGAGATTAGGCCCTTAGGGCCTTCGGGTTTAGGGCTTTGCGGTATTGTGTTCAGGACGCGGGTACGACTTTAAATTCACTACATTAAAGGTTGCTAGATGCTTCATCCGCTTCTCCACGCACAGAACAAATCTACTAGCACAAATGGTAGCCTCCGTCCTCCAAAATCACAAGCAATAATACAGCGCTCAACACCAAACCTTGAAGGGCTTGTCTTTCGTGGTTTGCGTACTTTGGTTACTTCAGGCAGAGCTCATTGGGGTCCCCATTGAAACCTTCAAGATCCGAGATCCTACAGGCTTATTGGTTTTAGGGTTCGAAGGGAGAGTTTCTGGTTTAATGTAAGCAGAGGCCAGAACTCCCATGTGGAGCTGCGTCGGCAGCTGTGGCTCCGGATCGCTACCAAGACGGCCTGCGTGCCTCGCAGCATTTGCACAAGCCGTTGGTCGTTTTGGGGTTTAGGGCTTCAGGCATAGATGTTGCCCCTCGACTGACCAGGCCTGACGCTTCGAGTGCCTGTGAGAGAGAGAGAGAGAGAGAGAGAGAGAGAGAGAGAGCGAGAGAAAGAGAGAGAGAGAGAGAGAGAGAGAGAGAGAGAGAGAGAGAGAGAGAGAGAGAGAGAGAGAGAGAGAAAGAGAGAGAGAGAGAGAGGGCTTCAGGGTTCGGGGTTTCAGGGCTGCGGGGGGATTTCGGTGTTGGAGTTTAGGGTTTAAGGCAGCAGACAGGTCTTGTGGGTGCAGCTTCCACTAAGTAGAGTGGAGCCGTCGTCGTCGTTGTGGTGTCAGGATAACCATAAACAGGTGGCAGTGGTGATAGCCATCGTCATGGTAGTCGTCGTCGTAGTAGTAGCAGTAGTAGTAGTAGTAGCAGTAGTAGTAGCAGTAGTAGTAGTACTAGTACCAGTACAAGTACTAGTACTAGTACTAGTACTGGTACTAGTGGTCGGCGTCGTAGTTGTAGGAGTAGCATCACTATCACTGGCAGTATCAGTAGCAGTACTTGGAGGTTCATGGGTAGTTATAAGCGGGGTTTTAAGTGCCGCAATAGGGTCATAATCGTAAATGCCTACTTATTATACTTATATCTCCTATCTTGCAACTACCCATGAATCTCCAAATAGCAGTAGACCTTCAACGGCAATTCTGCCACGCATCTTGTCAGACACCGAAGTCCCATTTTCATCTCAGGCAGACATTTCCGAGCCATCAACCTCGCTTGCAACAGCCCTGAGATGAATTCCACAAACGGCTTGTAATACAGGCGTTTGAAGCTTCGGTGATACTACTCCCAAGCGCCCCTTATTACAATATCATTCATTTCACAGCGCTGTTCTTGCTATGGCGGCTCCCCAGTATTGCTCTGTTCAAGTTGGCCATGTCTCCTTTATCTCGCAAAGAAATCACCTAGCAGGTGCTTTTGTTTGCCCTTGTTTCAAGCTTTTCCACTGCCATCATGCAGGTACTGATGTCGCTGGTGCTTGTCGTTGTGTCACCTGGCTGAGCTCAGCGTCAGAAGCCGGAATGTTTGCGCTTCAGTTCGTGATGCATCATTGAAAGACAGAAAGGTCTGGCCGGAGGAAGAAATGTACAAGCCCTTCCTTTGCCCACCCTAGACCCTCAACCCTCTCTCCCCAACACTCCAATGAACCTCATGAGAGCAGCTTTTGAAGTTCCGTGTGTTGAAGCGAAGCGCTTCCCAAACATGACACCTGAGACTCAAAATCCCAAACCCCAAGCTCTTGATTGTTTCTTCATGCTCTAGACATCTCTAGACTATTCCTGAAGCAATTAGCCCCCCCACCCAAAGCCCTCATCCTGGCTGTGTAAAAGGGAAAAAAGTTCGGGGCGAAAGCCTTGCGACCGTACACTTGAATTTACTGCTAAGCTGCACTCAGCAGGGACTTTCGCAGCTTGGCGAATGGAGGCTTATACCGTTGAGCATGTAGGGCTTTCCGCCGGTCCAGTCCTAACATTCACCCTAGGCTGGCGCTGAAACCCATGCTGAACAAAAGTTTGTGTGAAAGCAGCTGGCACCCCCGCCGGCCCTAAGCCCTATAGCCCTAAGTCCTAAACCCTAAACTCTCAGACGTCCTCGGACTTCACTCCAAAGTGCTCAACCCCTTCTACTATTACTACCAAGCCCTGAAGTAGCGGAGCCCTCGGAATGCCCTAAACCCTATGTTCCGCCTGGAGAGTATCGCAACTTCGAGAGTCGATACCCCCTGAGCCCTTAATATTGGCCTTAATTTTTATGACACCCTTAAACTCTGAACTCTGGGCCCCTAAACCCCAACACCACGGAGCCAAAAAACCCTGAAACATGAGAGACCCTCAGAAGCCGTGCCTGCGTCGTGGCGAGTGTGCGAGTCGAAAACACGAGAGAGCCCGAGACAGTAGGGTACTTATAACCTTACTCACTAAGTCCCTTGATCCTTTAAGTAGTACCCTAGACCCTAAACCGTATAGATCCCTTTTAAGGAACCCTATAGATCCCTTTTTAGGAACCCTAGAGATCCCTTTACCATAAGCCCTCCAGGATCGGCTTGACCATGGCCACGGAAGAGTCGTCCCTGCTGCCGGCCAATGTGGCTCCTTGGGTCGGGTGAGCCAGGGTTTAGAGGATTGGGGTTTAGGGCTTAGGGTTTAGGGTTTTGAGGATTTGAGATTTGGGGTTTAGGATTTCGGGTTTGGGATTTATAAGTTTGGGGTGAGGGTTCGGGGTTTCGGGTGCAGAGGTGTTTAACATTCAGGGTTTTAAGGTTTATTATTGGGTCTTGCGTGTTGGGGTGAGTCAGTGAGTCTTGCAGCCAGTAGTGCTACAGATTTGCCTGGCCCGCACTTTCCTTTCTTCAGGGGTACCCGGCAGTCGCAATGGGCCCGGATGCAAAAGTGCTGGGTCTGAGCAGTTATCGGCTATGTACATTCAAGGAGTATGTGTGTGTACATATATAGATACTAGTGTAGAGCAGACAATTGGAAGGCCATGCCTCTGTCAGGGTGGAGCAATCCCAACACGGAGTTTAACTATCGAGCATGTCATGCACATCGCGAACACCAGGGACCGAGAATTCACAGAATGTAAGACCGTGCCCCGATAGTGGCCCTGCGGTCCAGGAAGGGATCCCCGATGTGTCTTCTAGGTTCCTGAGTAGTACCCTTTTGAATTTGCCTTATTGAAACTGATTTTTAAAAGAAAGTACTGTACCCTTTTATCAAGAGGCTACTCAGGAACCGAGTCTTTAACAACTGTATATAAGTAGAGACCTAAGCAAGACTAGACGGTAAATGCCACAGCGACCTCATATATGACTGCACAGCGCCGTATTTACAGAGTTCTAGGGCTTTAGGATCCCAACAATGCGAGGCCCTCCACCCTGAATTCACTTAAACCCTATCCTACTAAGCCCTAAGCATTACAGGCCCTATAACTCCGTAGCCCCTAGATTCCCTGAACCCTTACCCCGACAATTCCCTAAGCTTCAACCCTTAACCCTACAGTTCCCTTAAACCCTACAATTTCCTAAACCCTAAACAGGTAGCAAGCGGTTTGCAGCCCTGAAGCTCAGGTGAAACGTGCGCGGGAAATCTACCTGGCAGAGCTTTCTGCAAGGTTGGTGGGGAGCGGGTTTCGTGTTTAGAGTGTACCGTCTGCTAGGGTTTAGGATTTACTGGGGTTTGGGTCTCGCTTTGGCAATGCAGGTGTGGCCCAGAACCGCGGTAGTCCGTTGGTGAAGGTTTCTGGAAGTGCGTTTTGAGTTGCTGTAGTAAGATGGCGTCTGTCAGCTTCCAGCTACCACGAAGGATACCAGGCAGAACAAAGTAGAATGCGGTATGCTTTCCTCCTATTAAAGAAAACGGATTTGGACTGTAAGTTTCTTGAGAACCCACCCTTGGATTTGTTGTTTGGGAGGTCTACTCCAGCAGACGCGTTGCATGCTGCGCGTGTCTTTTCCGATACGCTGTAGCTTGACCGCACGCAGCAGCTTCAGTTCTATGCTTCTGTGCTTGTAAACTTCGGAAAATCATCGGGGCAGCAGCAAAAGACGCAGGGTCTGGACTAAGGATGCAGAGTTTACGTGGAACATCCTAAGTCTCTAAATGTACATAGTGCGTTCTATATCTCAAGACCTGAAACCCCAAGACCCTGAGGGTTTCGACCGTTTCGCTCCTAACCTTGCATGTATTTTATAGGGCTTAGGGTTTAGGGTTCTGCATCGATGGCCAGAATTAGGCTTGGCTTTTGGGGATGTCGTGGGCAAAATAAAGGAGGGTTAGTAGGAGTCCTGAACCGCTAAACTTCGAAACTATGGTGATCTCTGGCCCTTACCTAAACCCCGAAACCCCAAATCCGGAAATCCTGCACACCCCTCTCCAAAAGCCTTGCTAACTTTCTGCAATGTAATTAGGTACCTAGGTAGCCTAGATCTCTAGGTAAGGCACCGTTTCACGGTGCAAGCCTATCTCAGGAAAAGTCGATTCGGGCCAGGCGCATCCCCCATACAGGAACCTTTACAGGAGCCCCTTCAAGGAGCCCTTATAACTACCCATGAACCTCCAAGATAGGCCCTAAACCCTATACCCTTATAGGATCCCTACAGATCACTTTAAAGGGACCCTTAAAGGAACCCTTATAACTACCCCAAACAATTCTGCAAGGATCAACACCACCAGAAAGATCTGGGAGGAGCTGGCGAAGGATGAGGCGCCCTTGGGCGCAGGGGCACTGTCGTCCGCAGACATGTCCCGTCAATCCTAACAACATGGGAGTTTCCGAAAATTAGGGGTACCTTATTTTGGGGTCCTTATAATAGGGATCCTACTATTTAGGGTACTATATCAGGGTCCCCTCTTTTTGGAAACTCCCACATAGGAGCCTTAATAAACAACAGAAATATCTAAGCACAAAATAGGGCGTTGAAAGGAAACACTGTGTACCATGGTCACTCTTTCTTTCGCCCCCGTCCGAATGCTGTGTGCATGCGAGAGCCATGTTGCGCGGCAAGGGTAACTTTCGGTCATGAGGCAGCTTCTTTTTTTGTTGCAAGCTGCAGGTCGGGCTGTAATTCTGCAAAAATCGAGACCTGAGAAGACAGTCACTATAGTTACAATAAGGAACCACCAAGATAGCATGGGTAATTCTTCAGGCCCCTATATTACAGTTGGACTTGGGAGAATTGCGGTCTGTTCCGGCCTGCCTGTCTTGCAGACTGAGTTGCGGAGGGATCACTGTTCTGTGGGTCGCCAAGAGCAAGTACTTGGAGGCTCATGGGTAGTTATAATTCGGGTTCTAAGTAAGGTAGCTATTATAACTCGAATCAGGGGACTTATAACCCTCCTTATAACTTATAACTACCCATGCACCTCCAAGTAGGGCAATCCATTTCAGGAGAGTCTTCACGGAATGCAGAAGGGTCTGGTGTCGGTTCTGAAGCTCGATCATTTTCGCTCAAGCACCTATCCCTAAACCCTGTAGCCCCCTAAACCTATATGTGACTCGTCGTTTGGCAGAGTCCGAGTTGCGAGAGCGCAATTCGAAATTTGTGTCGAGGACGGTCAGGGGAATCGTGCAGAGACCACAAGTAGGGTTTAGGATTTCGTGTTTCAATGTTGCCGTTTGTTTGCAGATCGCTTTGCCAGTTGTTGGTCTGTTTACAGTTGAGATCCTCTTCGAGACGGCTCCATATCTGCAGACCTTAGCACTTGCAAGCCGAAGCATGACCACACATCATAAGACACCAAACTTTAAGACCCACAAAGGTGTGGAAAAGCAGTAATCTTATCTCACAGCATCTTGTTCGCGTCCCTTCAGATTTTCGTATGATACAGCCCAAAACCCTACTGGAATCATCAAGGCCCCTTTTTAAACGACCAGCCTGCACATGGTCAGCATTCAGCAGAACTCTGGGAAGGGGAACCCGAAGCTCCCGATGGAAAGAAGCAATACTTAGATGAAAAGGAGGCTTAGTGGCTCAGTACACAGGCTCACAGGTCAGTTTTCGTCCAGCCTTGGAGAGAGAATAATATGGCAGAAGAAACCTTGCAATCCTCATGAAAAAAACTTGTACTGGTAGGCGTTCGAAGTCAATGGTTATGGGATCAGGCAGGCTTCCCTCCCTATGTGCTTGTGGTGACCGGCGAGGCTGGACGAATCGCTTCAGCACTAGTTTTGGCGGGGCAGATCCTTAGCTTTAGTTTGTTAGCCCTCGCAATCCACCCCCTCTAAAAAAACAGCAATCCACTTTTGCACTCGGCAGTATTTCTGTGGGAAAATGCCAAGGCTGTGGCTATGCTTTCCCAAAACCAGTAAACAAAAACACAAACAAGCAGTGTCGTTGCCAAAGCGTCCGAGTGTCACAGTCCAAACTGTAATCCCATGCTCAGCTTATGCTCCTCAGCATCTATAAGTCCTCATAAGCACTTCATCACCCCTCTTCCTCATTCGTCTTGAGCTGTTTGTTCTTATTTGTGAGCGGCGGATTCGCAGCAAGGTCCTAAGGAGTTTTGGCCAGGTGCAAACATGTACATGCTTTTTGTGTAGGCAGGCTTCCAACACAATATTTTTTAGCGGGCGCGTCTTTGGAGGGTTTGGGCTTCACGGTTTGAGGCTTTAGGGCGTTTTAGTGGTCACTGGGGGTTTTCATTTTCTGAAACTCTACCAGGAAAACGGATGTGGTCGGTGGAAGCCGCAAATTGCTTAGGATTTTGCGCCCGCGTTTGATCGTGCCGCGAGCGGCTCTGTGTGTCGAGATGCTTATTTCGGACTGGTGCATGGAGGTCAATGTTCACATGTTCTGCTGCTTGAGTTACGCTTTCCCCACGGGACATTTGTGTGTGATTTGGTGTGCAAGATTGTGCTCACTTCATTCTCGGCTGGCGCCTGGGAGGCTAGTCAGTAGTACTAGTTTTCTTCCGTGTGTGGGGGCCGTCGCATGTTTTCTGGCTAGCATGATGGAGGCCAGATGCTAAGAAGGCCCGCGTTTGACATGTTTTCTTGTGATCGCACGCATCGCTGTGGCTCATACGCCTAAAGCCTAAAGCCCCAATCCCCAAAACCCTGAACCCGAAATTAGCCTGATACCCACTAGGCATCACCTGTTATGGCCAATTTAGTACGTAATAGAGTAGGTAACCCTTAACCTTTTTAGGTGTACTTTAAACCCTGCATAATTGCAGAGGTTAACCTTTGTTTCTTCTGGGGTATCGGACAATCTAACCACCAACAACAGCGATATCAAATCCGAGGACGGGAGATGTCCGTGCACAGCAGAATGGTCTCTCGGAAGCAAGTCTCCATTCCGCCCGTGCGTTTGGTGAAGGTCGGCATAGCAGGTCTGGCAACGACTATAGTCTAGGGGGACAAGAGTCTAGAGATAGTCTGTAGAAGTCTATAGGATAGACCTATCTCTGTATCTGTGGTCACTCTAATCCCTACAAGATACGTGAAGTCGAGACTCTCGAACCAGGACTTCCTGCTTGCTAAGCGGTCTTCCATACCGTTTGTTGCATACTAGCCAGAGGCTCATGCCCTACCCCTTTTTCAGGGTACCTAGTTTTATGGTTAGGATCTGCTACATAGATAAGTAGCTACCCTCAAAGATGGGTAGGGTATGAGCCTGCTGGTAAGCCCCAAAGGCCCCTACTGTAAGTGCTGATTTGGGAGACCGGAGAAGCAGATGCACCCATGTGAAAGGAACGGTACTGTGGGAGACCAGGGCTCTTCGGGGAGTAGTAGGATCCGTCTTGTGCCTTCCCAAGAGAACAGACCCGCCGTGAGAGCCCAAAACCTACCACACCTTTAATGTTCTTTGCTGCAATGGAGGCCTTGACGACTTCCTGGCGACTCCAAGTGGGTTTATAGGGTTTTAGGGCGTTTCTCCAGGCGGGCCAATGCGGACGAAACCGTCTGCACTATCCGAGTGAGCCACCCCAAACCCGAAACCTTACTTCCCAACATGCTTGGCCCTGTGTGGAAGCCCAACTGACAACACGCACAGAACTCAAGCTTAACTGAAGCCCCGAAGCTGCAATAATTGGGGATGCGAACGCCGGCAGCTCCATCTCCAAGTCATTGGCCTCGGGAATTTTCAATAAAAACAGGACCCAGGCCCAGTAGGGTTTCATATTCAGGTCCCCTGAATACTGGATGAATCTCTAACCTCCCTAATAAAGGCCTTAGTCAGTCGGGTTTCCTTAAATACTAGAGACGGTACCCTTGAGTCTAGGACATGCAACCCACCATGATGCCCGGCAATGGTGCATGCTGAACCGAACATCACTTACATCCAGGAATTCCTGATATACCTGCTTGACTGTCCGAGCAGCTACCCGGCAAGAGCCTTTGCAAAACCAGCAAATTGTTGTTAATGCCGTGGCCGAGTACAGCTTAGACGCTGAGGTTTACCTCTCCCATTGCTGTTGTCAAAGGTCCTAGACCCTGAATCCTGGATCTACTCGTCGTGATTTTGGCTGTCCGTGTTCATATCAGTTCATCTCGGTGCTGAGGCTTTACTCCTGGAGGCAGCAGACTTTCGCAATATTGAACGGAATTCTGTCCGACCATTTGCCTCCGTGCCCACTTAGCGCGGGAACTGTCGGTAACTGTCAGCTTCAGCAGTCAGAAGTGCTCTCTTCTGTCACCAGGGCAGCCCCCTGGAGAACCCTTGCTAAAGCTGCCTGATTGATACATGAATAAGTGAAGCTTGACTACTGTGCTTTCTACGCCCTGTTGAGCTGCTATGGTGCAAGAGGTCGTTAGGTGCACAAAGACTCGGCTTGAAGCCGAGAGGTTGCTTGTTGTTGTGTTTGCTCAAGTCGGTCGTGCTCTTCCCGAAGGGTCCTATGTACTGTTATGGGGGATACTTCCCTAAGTCACAACAGTAATTATAGTAATTCCTGACATGGAAACCCTACATTCTACTATATCGGTACATAGGAAGCTTTGGGCTTAGCATGCATTTACAGTGCTTGTGCTGAGTGCTACCACCGGTGCATGATACCCTTGGAAGCTCTATATTGTATAGTCCACCCTGCTAACACCTGGCAGAATGCCGTATCGCAAGAACTCTGGTTGTGGCCTAACTTTGACCAAGGACGCCAGTTCTTCAAGTCTGTATACGACTTCAAGTTCTTGATGCAAGCTGCGAGCATTGGTGTCGACCTCCTCAATCAGCCCGTGGCCAGGGCATCCATCAGGTGCCGGTTTCGGGTATCCTCCGTAGCAGCCTCGGTCCCCCAGATCCTTGATACAAATCGTAGTCGTTGGAATTCCAACCTCAGGAGGTTCGTGTTCTCCCATCCGTGCTGGGCTAAGTCCCACATGTCTAGGGTCTAGCAGTTTAGAGTTTTTAGGGCTTGTCGAGTTTTTACTTGAGACTGCTCAAAGGGCCCAGGAACTTATGATCGTATGGGTCTCGGCACTACATCAGCGACCCGCAATCAGACTTCGACACAGTGCCTGTATAGTTCTACTATCGCTAGTCAACACCCTTCTCTCCGCGTTGCGGTCCTGGTCATGATGGCAGGCTGCACTATGCCAACATCCAAGATATAGTACTATATTCCCTGACCCTCAACCGTAAGCACAGGCATTTATCGCGCTCGCAGGTCCTTTCCGTGCACAGTTGACTATGCCGTGTCTAGCGTTCTACTGGGCCACGACTGGTACATGATCGGCTGCTTGGACAGAAACTCAAAGATTCCCATCTCCTTCCGCGCCTTCATCTGTCAGAACATTCGGGATAAGGCGGAGGTTTCATGCAGCAATTTCTGAGAAGCAATGTAATTTGTCGCCCAGCATTTCCGCCTCAGTGTAACGTAGGGGCTTGAGAAAGTTGCTTCAAACCTGCTCAACACAAGACATGCCGGGATCTCCCCCCGCCCGGGAAACTCCAGTCTACTTCTTCATGACGCCTCCTTACTGAGAGGTGGGTCCCCAGTCAAGATCTAAAGTGGCAGTGCTTGGAGAGGGCTTTGCCCCCCTCCCCCGCCTCCGAAACCCTAGTCTACTTATTCATGACGCCTCCTTGAAGAGAGGTGGCTTTTTAATCAGGATCTGAAGTTGCCACGCTCAGTTTTCTCCGATCTGCAGCCCAATCTGTGTTTGGCCAAAACTTCCGAACAGTCCTGTGTATTTGCCTTTTTCGAGAGCAGAAAATACGCTCAGAGTCCTGTAATCGGAAAATGCGGCAACCGAGAAAGGAACTGCCTTACATGTCATGTAATGGTCGAGTCCAGGATTGCTTGCTTTTTGGAACCTTCCAAATAATAAGACAACCCTGGATACGTTTGGGCAGCTCACCTTGGGATAATGGGACCCCAGCTGTATCGCAAGCAGCGTAGGGTTTCGGAAGCAGGTCGAAGATTCATTTCCTAATGCTCCTATGCATGAAGGCCTTTCTTCGGCGTCTGAATTCTGTAAATGGCACCTGCATTGTCTATGCGGAGCCTTTGGGCGTGGGATTTACAAGGTCGCGGAGAGTGTGTTGCAACATGTGTATACAGGGCTCATAAAACAGTGGACGCTGTTCCTAGTTAGTCCAACCTCCCTCGTCCCCTCCCATCCCTCACTCCGTGCTTGTAGGATCCAGAAAGCTCACACACAACCGCCTAAACCTCGTACAGGCAGAGTTCTAGAGGGAAACCTCTTCTTTGGAGACGTGGACATCTTCTTGGAGGTCGGCTGTTCATGATAGACATATACTATTGAAGCAGAATCCGAGCATCATGCATATATGCATGTCTATCCAAATCTTACATATTCCAATAGTACACGGGATCGGGAGGAATCTAGCAGGTTTTCGTTTGGCATAGCGCACCCTAAACGCTGAGCAGGCTGCCAAGAAGCATCAACTGATGCTTTGCATGGTATTGAGGTTTAGGGTTTGGGTTCTATAGGGTTCTGGACTGAATCTGTGATGTTGATGGTCACTGTATATTGTTCTCTTTCTTTGCGCGAACTCTACAAGTTGGCTTCGAGCAGCGGATAAGTGGGGTTGCACATACAAATAATCAAATACAGGGCATACGTTGGAAGCAACTCGAAAACGATGTTTGTCTAACATTCCTCCTGATTAAATTTCCTGGTCCACTGGTCCACCCAGAAAACCCTGAGACCCTGAGACCAGCAGACGAACTCAGTCTCGTTAGCTTGGTGTTAATACCCGGACTGCAGAAGGTCCGAGAAGTACTAGAAACCAGAGATGCCTGAACGGGACCCGAGTGAGTCAGAACAGCCCCACTCGCTCTTCCGCTGTGTTTCGAGCCTCGGCGACTTCGGTCTAGACCCAAACTCCGCGACTGCTGTTACTGTTGTTGCGACATCAACACAGCAACAGCACACCAACGACAGCCACCGCCACAGCCACGGCAACCAACCAACAAACAACCAACCAACCATTCATACTGCTACTACGACGACGACGACTACTACTACTACTACTACTACTGCTGCTACGAAGACGGCTGCTGCGGATACAGGTGCTACGGATGTTAATATTCTTAACGGAAGCGGTATTTCTACCGTCATGCTTTTCTCGCAAACTGCTCGCGGAAGCCAGGTTCAAAAGGCGATACACGCCTGGATGAAGGAGCCGCTGGAGCTGCTTGGCGCGAAGGGTTTGAGACTGCTGAAAGGAATCAGAGGAGGAACAGCAGCACTGGTGGTGGGAGCAGTCGTAGTCGTCGCCAGTGTCGTAGTACCAGAAGCGTAGAGGCAGTCGCACCAGCAATGGCCGTTATGCTAACGTTCTCGGTCAAACAAAGCGGATTGCCACGTTTGGCCCTCGTGTCATGGCAACGCAGCAAGGAAGTTCGATGCACCAACGTTTTCCAGCCTAATCTGTACAGACGAGGAGGACCCAGACTTCCATGACAAAATCGCACCTTGCACATATTTGTACACACACATACGTATATATATATATACATATATATATATATATATATGTACACATTTATTTGCATACATACATGGACATACATATTCATACATACATACGTGCATACATATATGTAGATGTAGATGTAGATGTAGATGTACATATAGTTATACACACATGCATGTGTATATATATATATATATACATACATATGTGTGTATATGTACAAGCATTCTTTTCAGTGTCACACTGGCCAGATAACGATTGCAGGTTATCAGTCTCAGAAGGTTTGATCGCTGGATTTTCTACGTGATGATGTCTCTTTGCTTTTTTGTGGTTTACGCAATCGGGTTTGAGCATATATTAAGAGGTTTTCAAGCATATTATCACGAAAGGCAACTACAGTCATTATCAAGGGCAACTACAGCCACTGGCAAAAGACTTGTTTGCAAGGACTTAGCATAGGGCCCTATTCTACCTGTGCCCACCCCCAACGATCTGTCCGAGTATGTCACCTTGGAGTCCAGTGGTCAGCGATGTTTCAGTGCAGGACTCTAAGGAGAGGTTTCGTTGGAGGACACAGTCACTTTATGTGTTGCTAGGTTTTGTTGCTGACATATCATGACGGAGCCTCTTAGTGATGTTTCACTTTGCAGACGCGAACTCATATGCCTCGCCTGGATTGTCCGAGTGTGAGCGCCGAAACACTCGAAATCGCCGTAGTTCCAGTCTCTGAAGCCTGTACTTCGAAGTACCAAGCTTATGCAGCACGTGACTAAAGCGTTTGCAATAGACAGGTTTCGGAATGATTGGGGTGCAGTATATCAGAACGATAGTCAGCAACCGCAAGGATTAATGTTGGTTTCGACATGAATAAGGCGCGCTGCTGCAGCAGCCCCGACCCACGACGACAGAGCAGAATTGCTTTGGCTTCCTGTCTGGCAGAGCCTTAGGGGTTTTTCTGGCTTTTTGGGGCTTGAGGGGTTTGGGGTTTCAAGGGTTTAGGGATTGGAATTTTGGTCATGGGGTTGAGGGCTGATATCTCAATGATCTTCGGTTTCGCAGGCTTGAACTCGGGCGCAGCAGATCGTAAAGACCAGTGTCCGATTTTGCAGCTCATGCCGAAGCTCAATCAGCTGGGAGCTACTGCTATGTTAGGTTTTTCCGAAATGCACACCCTATATAATAAGGATCCTACTATTTAGGGGATGCACACCCTTGATCCAGCCAACGCAGTTCGGTCATGGAGCTGCCAGGACTGCTAGGAAGTTCTGCAGGGTTTTGGTCTGTTCAGAGGTGGGAGTTTCAGAAAAGAAGGGGTACCTTATTTTGGGGTCCTTATAACAAGGATCCTGCTATTTGGGATTGTATAATAACCCTGTGCTGTAAAGTTTAGTCTTGACATGTCCGTGTGCGCTTTTGATGGTTTTCCGCGGCAAAACGATGAGAAGAAAATAAAACGATGACGCATTGTTCATGGTAAAACGATAAGAAGAAATAAAACGATAACAACCTTCAGGGATAAGGATTTAGGGTACCATATTAGGGTCCCCTATTTTCGGAAACTCCCAGGTACCTGACCCGGATGCCAAATGCAACCCTGGGTCCGTACCTGCAGAACAACATGGAGTTTCGCAAGCTGCTCGGCACATTTGTTCCCAAAGGGTCCAAGTTTAATGGTATGGTATATTCTATGGGGGCCAAAATACCTACTACACTGGCACATGGGCCCTTTGGGTCAAGCTTGATGCTGTTCGTTTGCATCCAAGGCTGTGTGACAGTTCGTGCGTACCTGTATGCAGACATACGTGAGAAGAGCGCAAGGTCCGTAAGCAGGGCATGGTCAGCGATCGAAATACAGTAAACCCCATAAAGTTGGAAACCGGATTAAGGCCAAATAGTGCTGAGATGCTCTATCCATTGCTCTTCAGGATTGAGGCTATTGGGTTTCCAACTTTTCGGCTTCTACTGTAGCGCATGATGGCAGACAGTCCTGAAGTACCATCCTTGTCATTGCATGCTGTTCAAAACCCACTTAGATATTGGAATAGACCTCTTAATTAACACATGACAGCCACCTCACTTGGCTTTACTCAGGCTGCCAATTTCTCGTATAGCAGCGGATGAGCGCTCAAAGCCTGATTCATGTGCATGCTTTGTAAGCTCGACAACATATGCAGCTGTTTGACTGAGCTTTCCGTTTGTTGTAGCAGTAGGTTGATTCAAGCTTGCACGCAGCTGACGTAATGGTAGTGGCTGTGCTGGCAGTGGGGGTGTTCTTGTGAAAGCTTTGTCAAAATAGAAATCCATAGGAAGTAAGATGGAGTTCATATTACCGTGTTTTAGAAATTAAGTTCCCTGTTAACAAGATCCCAGCAAAATCGTCAAGGAGCGAAGGTCTCCACGCAAGCCGCGCAGGGCCGAAGCAGATGAACCCAGTACCTCATGTAGGTAAGGTAGGGGCCTTAAAATTATGGTTTAAGGATGTTTAAGGTATGTTCCGTAGTTCATGAGTACTGGGCTCTCCAGGACTGTAGCAAAGCATCATGTAACATAGGGAGGTGATCGGATCCCTGACTACAATCTGGATATATTACAATATAGAAATTGCTCAGTATGTAGTATATGTGTGTGTATGCATATAAGTATATGTATGACAAACTCACTTAATCTCAGCTCTTCCTGAGAATAGCTGCGTCTTCTGCTTTTCGCATGTCAACAGTGTTTCCTCATGTTGGAAAGCCAGACCAGTGCAGCGATTTTTGCAGACTTGTTGAGGTTCGATCCGTTCTATCGGAGATACTACCCCGCAATGCGAGACACCTGGCATCCTTGGGTCTGCGTGCTGAGATGGCCGAAGTATGTGGAGAGGGCAGTACGGAAGGAGAATAAGCTTGTAAAGTCCTGGACGGTAATATCTTACATCTAATCTATTTGAGAGAGAGAGAGAGAGAGAGAGAGAGAGAGAGGGGGAGACAGAATGTCAATGTGTTGCTGAATATCTGTCACAATTTCAGGAATATTCCGTACTGTGTCTTTTGGATAGAGAGTTTGCGATGAGCAATACGCGGCGGCCATTTCGACAGTAAAGACACCGCAAGCGCGGCGCGGAGCCTTTGCCGAAGCATGTTTCAGCAGAGGGTCGTCATGATGTATAATTAAACACGAGTATACATAGATAAATAGCGGTATGTATGTATGTATGTATGTATGTATGTATATATATATATGTATTTATGTGTTATATATGCATACATACATAGCAGTTTTTACATGTATAGAGAGAATGCTCAGGAAGGCATCTCCTCGCAACAAGCCTGGGAGATCAAGGCATGGTTGTACGATCCGATGCAGGACCGACCTCACGTCATGGCTTCGGATCCTGTGGCGAGTTTGGTGCAGTTGTTGTGCTGTTTCTGCGTACAGGTTGAGTTGGTGTGTGATCTTCTGTTCTGTTACGCTTCAGTGATCGAGACACTGAACTTAAACGTGGACATATCGAGCAGGTCAGCGACAGGTGCTTCCACGCACGCATGCGCACCCAATATTCCTGTACGAAACGGCCGCATGGAACATGCTTCTGCCTGAACATCATAAGCTCAACAAACCTATAGACATGTAATCATACACTAGTCTTGACAAACAAAATGTTCACAACATCTTCAACAGTAGCGCACCTAGCTTTGATAAAGTCGAATGTTCATCAACACATGAGTCATAAAACGCTCTGTATCAGGTCGTGTGCCCCTTGCAGCATAGTCCGTTGCAAATCCTTTCCACTTGTAAAGTGCTGAGGGTCTAAGGCAGAAGGAACTCCAGCAAGGAGGGTGGTTTGCGGTGTTTGGGGGTGTTTGGGGGTGTTTGGGGTTAGGGTAACTAAGCGTGAAAGCAAGTAATGTCACGAATCGTGTGTTGCCAAAAAAGAAAGCAAACTTGGACTCACGCCTGCGCTTACACAGCAAACCCTAAACCCTACACTCCTAAGCCCCTAAGCCCTAAACCCCTCATACAACTACATGTGCTGCAACCCGGCCATCAGAAAGAAAGGATTTCATTGCAGCGGAAGTTTTTGAGCTGCTATATCTTAGAGATCCAGTGGTCGATGCCATCTCGCGCCCCGGCTGCAATTGGGGTTTGGGCTTTCCTGCAGTTATTCGAACAAAAGTACAATTTTTTGGTGTTCCTTACAGGGTTTCTTTTTATATGACTCCTTAAGGTATTCCTTTTGGGCTTCAGGGTGTATACGGGTTGTCAAAACTGCGGCCTGTGGGTTAAGTTTCGGCTTCGATGCTCCGAGGCCTTGGAAGAACAGTCAGAGGTGGAAGCATGCAGATATACATCATGCATGCATGCATGGACGTATGTATGTGTGTATATATATATATATATGTGTATGTCTATATCTGTTGTGTATATCACCTGTGTGTGTATATATATATATATATACAACATGAAGATGGAAAGCCTGGCCACTTGAATGCACCTCTCAAGACCTCCTCCAGCATTAGAGCGGGGCGTAAGGTCGAGATTTCGGGTTGACCCCAATGCTGTTTATGTTGTCATACACTTCTACCATTTGGGCAGGTTCCCAAGCACATCGCTACCTCGAGCTCACTATAGGCACTCGCAGGTCAAAAAGGAAACCTTGCAAAGCACCAGACCTTATCTGAGGCATCCCGCGCGTCACGTTTTCCTTCTTTCGGCATAGGCGGTATAGGGCAGCCCTGCAAAAGCCAGGTCGGAGGTTCAAGCGGTTGCCGCTCAGGTTTAGCTTTGTGTGGGTCCAAACGGCCTGAAGTATGCATTAATTACTTTCTTCATTTGTTTCAACCATTCTTCTAACATTCCAATCACAAATCGGAATCAGAATTTCCATTCTGTTACACCCTAAACTCTAAACTCTAAACGAGAATTGAGACCTGAGGGTAGGTATCCTTTTCTACACTTGCAGCCGGGAACATGCCTCATGGCGCTAAGGTCCAACACTGGCGACCGCCTTGAATGCCTCCTTCGGGAAGGTGTGTGGTCTGAAGGAAGCTTGGCGGTTTAGGGTTCAGATATACCCTTAATATAGAGCTATTATATACCCATTATATAGCCCATTATATCCTAAACCCTAAACCTTCAATATAGGGTTCAGGGCAACCTTGTTTCTCGGCTTTAACTTGCGCTGACTATGTTGAGGCTTTAAGGCGACACACGAAGTTGGGGTTGGGAGAACAGGGAGGTCTTTTGGACTGGGTTCGGGACTTCGGGGATTTTTGGGTCCCACAAGCACCAACATCTTAGAATAAGGATTGCAATCGATAATTCTCGAACAAGTAGTGCTGGCAGCAGCAGCAGCAGCAACAGGAGCAGGAGCAGGAGTAGTCGTGGTAGTGGTCGTGGCCGTGGCCGTAGTAGCGGTACTGGTAGTGGTGGTGGTAGTAGTAGTAGTAGCAGCAGCAGCAGTAGCAGTAGCTGTCAGCAGTAGCACGAACTAAAAGCACCACCATTTCCGTATTTGTTAGCAAAACCACACTTGCCTCTCAAATAGAAAACCAGTTCCGTGAGGACCGGAAGCATCAACCCCTACAGCCCAGAGGATCCTTCAGCAGTCCTTGTGTTCTCAAGCTCTAGTCGTAGAGTTTGGAGTAGAAGCTGCTCAGTCTTCAGCCCTCAACCCGAGACTTCCGCAGCACCCTGCGGCTTTAAGATTTCAGGGGTTTGAAAACAACAGTTTCCCATGACCTGCAAACCACGTGGTGACCAGGAAAGGTTCGTCACGGCCTCCAGGTGCTGCGGGTCGTTTCGCTCAGCTTCGGGGATGAAATAGACCTCCGTTGCGGCTTCTAGGAGGTCTCTCGTAGGGCTTTTCGGATTCACTATATATAGGGTCTTATAGGATCCACGAACGTGTGTGTGTGGGCTTGCAGGGTGTAGAACTGAGAGAGAGAGAGAGAGAGAGAGAGAGAGAGAGAGAGAGAGTCTCAAAAGTCAACGGGTCCGAGTAGCATTTGGACAAGGTGCTGCACGTCACTTGCATGCTACGAGAAAGGGGCGCAGAGATTCAGAGATTCGGGTCGCTTAGGGTGTAGAGTGTAGGGTTTACGGTCTATGCTGTCAAACTCTGGTGGGGGTGAGCTAGTCCGCTGAATGACTTGTGGCTCTGCAAGAACCTCCTGGACCATTTGCGTGGTTCCCTGGAAGATCAATGAACAACAGAGTCGTGGCAATAACGGCAGCAAGAACCCAGGGTCGTCCCGTGGTATATGCTACAGTTGGACTTCTCGTCCCTAGTGTTAGCAGCTAGCATGTTTCCGCCGGCCACTTTGAAGGCACTTTGGACGACCCTGACGCATGCTTGCAAGAAGAGCAAACTTAGCCGATGTTCTCGTGCCGACTGCTTAGGTTTGAGCTGCTAGTGCTGACTAATGCCTCTGCAGAGTGGGGCTTCTCACTACGGTTGCTGTTTCTACGATATTACGTTTGGTGATGTGATGATCCAAATGGCTATGCTGATGTTGAGGAGGAAGATTGACGTACATATGGTTATGATTTTGCAAGCAGGTTACTTCATTAGATACAGATAATGCCTTAAGGTGTTAGCTAGGGTCTCCAACTTGGCTGGTCTTGGATATGGTTTTTTTGAACCGACTTGACTCCAGTACGGTCTTGATGAAGACAGGCCTGCAGTGGCTTCTCAAACTTTGAGTGACAAGACCAGGTCGTTTCCTGCGAGGGAACATTGAAGATTCGTTTGCTATTTGGGAGTTTCCGAAAATTAGGGGTACCTTATTTTGGGGTCCTTGTAATAAGGATCCTACTATTTAGGCCATGTTAGGGTCCCCTATTTTCGGAAACTCCCAAATAGCAGGTTACTAACCATATATTTATACCCCAGTAACCTACTATTACGTAGGTTACTGGAGCCCTAGGGTACAGTATAGACCTGAGCCTATTCTTTGGTGAAGGGTTGTCAGTTGGGATTTAATTGGCTGTTGGGCTGGACGCGCCTCGGCCGGATGGGCGATGTCGTGTTTGGATTTTGTGAGGGTCTCCAGAGAAAAAAGACGGGGATCGCTTGGCTGCTCTTTATGCCTGCAGCTGCTTTGCTGTCTTTGCTGGCCCAGACCCAGACGGACCTCTCGCTAGCAGTTGCGCCACATGTTGACTACAGTCGTGTACTTCTAACTCTATTCTAGTCTCTTCCTGGCTGTGCGCCGTGTTTAGTTAGGCAGGTTTTCGCAAACAACTTTGTGTCATTCCCTGAGGAAAGTGCGCACCCGAGCACAAGCTCGATCCGACGGCACAAAGGATGCCGCGCAAGCGGCTTGGCAGCAAGGCTTTGGGGTCAAGGTTTACTGAGTACCTAGACCCCTTGCCCCAACACCCCCCAAACAGACGCCTATAGGCCCCAAAACTGCGTCGCCGGACTGTGTTCGATCGCAGGCGCGGTGAGAGCTGATATTTGAGGTAGGGTCTTTCCGTGTAGCGGGCAATCGGTTCATTGCCGCGAGAAGTCAACAATGCATGACAATAAAGAAATCGCCGTAAAGCCTTACGTTCTATCCGGCAGAACCCATAATAAGACATCAGCATGGGGATGTCGGGATATACCTTACGGACCTGATTTCTGCATTACAAAGGTTCCTAGTCAGTTATGCGCACATCTGTTGTGCGACGAAGGCAGTCCGTCCTTTAGACAGCCTCAACAACAACATGACCTAGACCCGGGTTCCGACATACACCCAAAACCCCTTAACCCAGACCTTGCCAGGCTTGTCCGAGTGCGAGTGGCAAAACCCTGAACCCCTGAACCCTAAAACCCCCAAACCCCTGAACCCCCAAAACCCGCAAACCCCTAAACCTCTAAACCCTGAACCCTGAGCCCTAAACCCCCAAAACCCCCAAACCCCTAAACCCCTAAACCCTGAACCCATTCTTCGCTGTTCCTGAGCTGCTCAGCCGAGGTCTGTTTCTCGTGCCAGGAATCCGGGGTCTTTGAAGCTGCTCAGTCCATGAAGGGTTTAGGGGTTCGGGTTTTAGGGTTGGGGGTTTAGTGCAGTCAGGAGTGCTGACCTTCCGTCCGTGTATTCAGGCGATTGCACAAGTCCTGATGCAAAAAGGGTTGAGGGTTTAGGGTTTGAGAATATATGGGCCTTACTAGTTACCTTTTCTATTTGGGGGGTCCCAAATGTGATACTTAAAGTATGAAATACTCAAAACCCTATTCTCCTACATTACGTTTCTGTCGTAGGCGTTTGGGGCTGGGGGCGGGATGTGGGTTTTAGTGCATGCATGTATAGGGCTCAATCTGTGGTAGTGCTAAGAGAAGGCTATTTGGTAGCTTGCATAGTCAGACACGTACTCGTCGTCGTCGTAGTAGTAGTCCTAAACGCTATAAACCGTAAAGCCTAAAACCCCTCAACCCAAAACCTTAAACCCCGAAACTCGAAGACTTACCCTTGTTTTCAGACGCCCCCATCTGAAATCCCGCTTCTCGGATTCTGCGAAGCCGAAAAAGGGTCGTGTAACAAAACCCTAAACCCTAAACCCTAAACCCAACCCTAATCCCTAAACCCTAAACCCTAGAACGAAACCTCAGGTCCCCGGGGAGCTGCAGAAGCCACTCCAGGAGGCTCCTAGGGCTCTACTAGGGTTCCCTTATGGGTTTTATAGGGTTTTAGGATTTGGGGTCTACTTGGCGGTTCATTTGTAGTTACAATTTTAGGATTGTGGGGGTTTAGCGTTTTGGGGTTTTGGGGTTTAGGGCTTTGCGGTTTTATAGGTATTCAGGGGCGTTTGGATCTAGGGGCTTTAAGATTTAGGGGTGTAGGGTTTTGCAGCATTGGGTGTTTAGGGCTAGGGGCTTCCGGTCTTAACGGCGCTGTAGGAGTTTAGGGTCTATAGGGGAAGGTAAACGCCCTACACCCTCCATCCTGGAGGTTTGGTCGACGAAAGATCTTATCTTTTCTTAGGAAGTTTGGTTTAGGGTTTAGAGTCTAGGATCCATCTTGCACCGTACCGTCAGGGAACCATGTCGACAACTTGCATTTTTCTGCTCGTCGGGCAATGGCTCATCAACTGCGCGGGTAAATACAAACCTGCGTGAACGACTCAAGGTTTCGAACTCGGCGACTGCTCGTAGACTTCATAGGTTGTTGGTGTGCATGTTGCCGTCGGTCGCGACAGTTTCAGCAGAAGTCGAGGGCGTTAAGGGCATAAAGCCCCTGTCGGCCATATGACAGCACATAAATCCCGCCCGAATCCTGTAAGTTTACGAGTCAAGCTTGAGGAGGTTGGGCGGGACGAGGGGCCAGTGAACCCGTTTTCGGGTTTGGGGCTTTGGCTTTAGGGTTCCTGACTTTGCATCGGTTTCCAGGCTGACGTTTCCTCATGTTCTGGTTAAGCCCCCTAAACCCGAACCCTAAACCCCTAGACGGCCCTAAACACTAAACCCAGAAGTTACGATCACGGTAGAAACGGACGACGCCTCTGGCTTTGCTGGGACTGGGGTGTCGCACGCACGGCTTTTGAAACAAGCCTCTGCAGTCCCTTCAATCTTCTAGGATCTGCTGACTTTCATCCTTGCTATATTGTTTCTGTTACAGATGCTTCCGACTCCTGTGCTTATGGTTCCAAAAGCTTAAACTTTCCGGTACCAGCTTGCAGCCTCTGAGAAAAAGGAGTCAAAGAACAAGTTTCCGGTACACACCCTAAACCCTAAAACCCTAAAACAGCCATTTTGGCTCAAGGTGGCTTAGCAGGTAGATTGTGGGAGGGGTGCATGAAACACCAAGTTCTTCAAGGCAACTTTTTGGATGGGGAAAATTACTCGGCAACATAAGTACGAATACAGCGCAATGTGAATGCTCTCACCTCAGGGTGGAGCAAACGACCTGTTGCAATCGTCATCCCGCTTTGACAGCAACATTGCTCTGGCCAGCGGGCCCATAACCCGCTACAATAACAAAGCCTGACTCGTAATCAGTTTCCGGAGAATTTCTAAAAGTGCAGCCTGGCGTCCGTGACCTGTGGGCTTAACATCAAGTAAGAATAGCCGGAAACATTGTGTATTACTATAGCCCTGCTGATGCCATGTTTTTTCGTGACAGTCGCCGTGCCGACCCATGTCTCGCACATCAAAGGCTAGAGGATGCTCGACATCCTCCAAGGCTGAAAGGACGATTCAACCTTGAGATTGCCGATGTCTTCCAATGCCACAAGGGCTCCGAGTGGAGAATCCGGACTGCAAGCGGCCACGTTTCGTTTGCGGGCAGATGCAGCGGAATTCATCCCCGCAGAGGTCCATCTGTTGCGGCGACTGCTCGCCCCAGATCCAGCCACGCCTGACCTGAACCAGCTGGCTGCACCTTCGTCGAATGACTATGACGACTATGAGGACCCTTCTGGACAGGTCATTCAGCAGGGCTCCGTCAAAGCTGGCCGCTTGTACGTGGTGTCTGCTGGTGAGCTCACTGTCGAGAAGGACGGGCAGAAGGCTCGCAGAGTTGTCACGCCGGCTGAATGGCTTCAGCCAGTGCTCGACGACGAGGAGCTCTTCGCTCCAAGCGATTCGTCGCCTGTGCTTTGCGGTTCGAGTTTCCGAGCGAAGCGCCGAGGCGAGTACTCGGCTTTGCGCAAGACCCTATTGAAGAACGATTTGGAATTCGGCGAAGGGCTGGACTTTGGCTCCGGCCGGTGGTCGAGCGAAGACCAGCTGAGGCTGGCAGAAACCTTGGTGGACATGTCCTTCGCTGCCACGGTATTCCTCTGCAGCTCCGCCACAGAGGCTGTGGAAGCCGCCATGGCGTTTGCAGAGATGCACCACCGCTTCTTCGACGACTCACGAGACAGGTTCGTGGCGTTCGAGAATGCATACCATGGATTTACGATGGGAGCCCGCTTTGAGCCGGTGCCCTCTGCGTCCTTCTTGAAATTCAGAAGGGGTCAAGAGAACGCTTGACCGGGTGGAGCAGCTGGTCCGATCCAAGACTCAGTCGCTGACGGAGGATGTGGGGCTTGTGAAGGGACAAGCCACGACGCACCACCGCGACCTCTGTGCTCTTGTGCGTGGTCTTGAGCACTCGGTCACACAGATGAAGGCGGTCACAGATGGGCTGGCACTTAACATGGCCCAGATTGGGGCGGCCTTCGGTAAACCGCCGGTAGACAGTGCAGGCCAGACACGAGCGGTAGATCTTTTGTTGAGCCTGGGTGAAACCCTGAAGGACAGTGAGAGCCATTGGCAGGATCTGAGGGAGATGAGCAGGGATGCCTTTCACGAGGTCCAGGAGGTTGGGTCGGTTTTGGTTGACTTTCGGGATAGGTTTTTCGACCGCTCTTTCCCACAGTTTCCTGTCACGGGGCATAACACAATGCTTTCATCCGCGAGCGGATCCAGGAACCCACCCACTGTTATTGACCTTCAGAGTCGTTTGCCTCCCCGCAATCCTGGATTCGCCACGGTCACCTTTCCCGACGGCTCAGTGAAGATGGTCTCCACGGATAACATCCACTAGATCTCCTTGCTTCGGGTTTGTTTATTCCAAACTTAGCTTAACACTGTAATATTGATGTTATCCGGTGAGAAGACATTTTGGTCGTCTGTATGCCCTCGCGAGCATTGACCCAACAATAGGCCTCATCCTGTAGTTTTGTGTTGCATGATGCTTGCTTTGTCACCTACTGGTACTGTACATGATGCTTACATGCGGGGACTTGGGAAGGATGTGCGATGCTACGTAATTTGACGATGCATGGCACTACGGAATTCCTTTGCATGACGGCACCACGTAATTCACTGCAAGTACGACATCAATGCAAGATGGCACCACGGAATGCATGTGAGTATGATAAGCGAACCTCTGGACGATTGGGCACCGCAGTTCCCGCGCTTGCTGGCATCCTGACATGGACGGGTGAATCTTTCTTTATGTTATGTTGTTGAAGCTGTATCTACTTTGCACCCGGCCCTGGGACAGGTTGCTAGCAACATGCGAGTGTAACAATATTTTATGCTATGTTTAATTCACACTTGCTTTGAAAGTTCCCGGAGTAGTGTTTTTGCATGTGAATGCACGACCTATAATGCCAGTGGGAGGGCGGCTCACGTTGCTCTACCTATATTGCTTGCTAGACTTATGCCTTTCCTGGAGCCGTAGGAGTCTTCCGCAACCACACAGGCATGTCCGGAAACTTCTGTATGCGCTGACAGGGCCTGACCGACAGCTGAAAGAAGGAAACAACAGTGAGTTCAGTGCCAGACAGAAGAGAGAGGAGAGATTGTGACAAATCATTGACTACATGGCACATGGTAGGAACTAAATGTACGAGCTCCTTTCGGTGATTATGGGTGATGCCTCTGCTGCATGAATGACCTCATGGGTGTTTCCTGTTCTGCTTGGATGGTGCCTTGATGCTACAGGTTATTTCGTTGCGGTCGTCTCCCGAGTCCGTTCATAGTGGGAAGTACGGATCCCGATTGCACTCAGATTGCTATGTACCTCGTACTTAACAACTTTCGCCTTTAGGCTGTACTCCCCCTAGCCCGCTTCACACGTTCTTAGATAGTGCTGCCTTAACCCTCGCCTTTGCTCCATGACCTTTGCAATGTGCCCGCCACCGGTGACATTGGTTACTGGCCTGAATGCCACTGCCCTGCTTGATTTCTTTGAAGACCTGGACACGGACAGTGCTGGAATGCTTGCCAGGTATCTACACGGTCGCCTCGTGGTGTTGCAAGAGGAACAGAGAGGTGTTTGTGGCCTCGATCTGGTAGGAGCGTACATACGATACCTGCTACGGGCCTGCCTGGTTGTGATGGCACAGTGTCCGGCGACTGAACTGGATCGGGGTCACATGGATACAATCGTGGAGATTTCTGATGGTCTGGTCTGGAGAATCAGGCTCAGGATGTGGTACTTACGAGCGGACCAACTGCTGGCGGGTAACACCACTAGGCGTGACTTGGTCGCCCCTGATGTGGTCTAGCCGGCAGCAATGGTGAGTAGCCGGTGATGGCGCCAATGGGATGGGCACTGATGCATGACGGAAGTGGAATTTACTGGTGCATGGTGGATGTGGAATTTACTGGAGCTTGGAAGGGCGAATTTGCTGCATGATGGCGGGCTATGAAGACTTTCTGGAATTTGTGGCATGAGATGGTATGGTGGCTGGGCTATGCATGCTTTCTGGAATTTGCTGCATGATATGGAGAAAGATGTACAACTGCGTATGCATGGAATTTGTTGCGTGAGGCGGAGATGTATCTCGCTGCGTGGGAATTTATTGCATGGGACGGAGGTGTATGCCTAGTTGCATGAGAACTCTGTATGGCTGGGCTGTCTTGGTCCTCTCAAGCTCGACTGGCCTCGACTGGTTCATTGTGGAGATGGGCGTTTGCCGAGAATTCCTTTTGCATATGCATGGATGCCAAATTGAGACAGCCTGTGTACGGTGACAGCATGGACCAATTCTTGAGTTCATGTCTGATGCATGAATGTGCTTGGGACAGCGAGTGGATGGGTATGTTGCATGCTGGCCCTGCCTGTGTTCTACAATGCTGCAAGAGAGAATGCACCACGAGACTTGTGGCTGGAGAAGGGTCGATGGTAGCCTAGTGAATATAAACAGGGATAGACATTTTGAAACAGGAGTGTCCCAATGAGGACATTCGGCATCTGCAATTACCCCCGACACGTGTCACGTGTCATGGGTATTGATTTTTTAGCCTACAGCTGCCCTATGACCTCTTTTGTTGATTTTGCTCCGTGTGTGGGGGCATTGCATACTCTTAGTTGTGATTCTGTGGACTATGTGGAGCCTTGCCTGCCTTGTGCGAGTGTGAGCGTCGAAAACCCTAAACCCTAAAACCCTAAACCCTAAACCCCATGTGAGCGACAGTCTTGCGAGGCTGTGAAGTGGGTGGTATGTCTAGCAAATGCCCACAGCGACGACCCTGGAGACGGGAACCCGGATTGCTAAAGGACGCTCTTGGTTTACAGTAGAAGCCAGAAAGTTGGAATATCATTATCGTAACCCCTTTAAGGTAAATTATAGGGGATCCTACCATTAATCCATATTCCAACTTTCTGGAGTTCCCTTTAGGGTTTAGGGTTTATGACTTAGGGTTTAGGGGTTTGCGGTTTGGGATTGAAATGATAGGTTGTGGGCCACCTGCATCCATGTGCCACAGTTCATGAGAAGTATGGACAGCCTAATACCGCTTAATTCCGGAATATACTTAGTTACAGGGGCTTGGGCTCTTCGGGAATATTTTTTGACAGCTGAAGCTTCAGGATCGGGGTCTTGCGGCTCAGGATCTTTAATTCAGCTTTTGGGGCGGGTGTGGAAGTGTGTAGAGTGTCGGTTCATGGTTTCGGGTCTTCTATGGTTTGAGGGTTGAGGGTTTTCGAGGCTGTGGGTGTTTTGCAAGAGTACTTACATGCAAAAGCTCAAACCTGAGCTATGGGGTATTTCGACTACAAGGCTTTGCAAGCTAGGCAATCACAAGAAGACACTCATGCGCGCGGTTTGGCAACCTGTCCGCTGCTGCCCACTCGATCGAGGAACTGCATATCCCGTGCTTCCTGTGCTGAATCTCCAGAAGTCCTTGCGCGGATCCACAACATGCATTTGCTCACACGACAATTGAACGTTTGGCTCCTGCATTCGACACAAGCGTTGAGTACCCGACAGAAAACAAGCATTCGAGCCATCGCAGACCACCTACCCAACTCCGGCAGCAGGCCCCTCTCTGATTGCGCCGTTGCATCCCACGAAGCCTTGCTAAAAACTATTGGAAGCACTTGGTGGATGTGTGCTTCTCACCGGCAGCCACCAGGCCAATAACGCAAAACAGCAGGCAGCGGCGTAAGGACCGAAATCTTGAAATCTTTAAAATGTTTGTTCGCCAGAGAATCCGAACACTCAAGCCGCATGGGCGGAAACCCGACGGTGTCGACAGATGTAATTGTGTTTTGGGGTTTCACGGTGGACGACATTTGGTACTCACGCGTGACCGCTTGCTTCTTCGGCTTTCCTGCCCTGACATGGGCTCGGGGTTTGAAGGGCAGGCATAGCTGCAGAGCCCTGCTTCAAAAACCAAGCGTTGACGGGGCTGAGGGTTGCTGGGCTGAAGAGGGCCAGCGTGCACATGAACCAGCGGCATGACAGACTTAACCATCGTGCGAATAGCCAAGATATGGGAAAGGTATCTACGTGCGAGCTGAAGGGCAAACTTTGGTTCAAAACCTCGCCTTACACATCAGGAGGAGTAGTCCCAGTGAAGAACGAGCTACAAGTAGCTTGTGGCGACCAAATGGCCGCACAAAAGCATTCAAAAAACAGTGTTCCCGAGGGAATTCCGAATCTTTATGGTCCCGGAAGCCGAGTTTGTCAAAGCGCGTTGTCCCGACCTCCGCGACAACCAACCATTGGCTTGGGTTGTATGCGCTTCGTGGTAACATGCAGACATATCGGACCCCGTTCTTTGATCGTGCTGGTGAAAACATGCCAAAGCAATCAACGAATAAGTCAAATAAGTCTTACCAAATAAATGCGTACATATATGTGTAGTTACGGATAATTACATGTATATGTATGTGTATATATATATATATATATATAAATAGCCTCTGCACAGGTCGGAATACCTCAGGGCATCATCCCTAAACCTTAAACCCTGCACCCTGAACCTGCTTTCCTTGGGCTGTCCGTGCTTGCCAGGAGCAAGGCTGGAGTTCTGAAATCCGCTGATGGCTGGTAGTTCTGCACACAGGAATGCCAGAGGCTTCGATATCCCACACTACAGAAAGGTTTAGGGTTTAGGGTTTAGGGTTTGGGAAAAAAGGAGGTTGGCTGCTGACGTAGATCCTTCAGCCATGGGCCTACTGCAAACTTACTAGGATGAAGCACCTCTATATACCCTCAACCCCAGTCCCTAAACGTCTCGCCCTCCCCTGAAACCATAGCTACTATAGGGGCCCATAATTTTTTACTTATGTTATTTTGGGGCCCTTCTAGTATAATTGGCCCCAAACTTAAAACCCTGTTCTAATCATTAAGGCCCCTGCGTTATAGTACCTTATAGGACCTATGAAGGACCACTTTAACAAGGAGCCCTATTCTAATTATTACGACCCCTATATTTCTAGTTCTTCAAAGCCGCGATCTTGGAGCCTTTGGAGGGATCCTCTTACCTGGGAGTTCTGACATGCAGCTGTCACTTCTGGAACTTCGGGTTTACTTAGCTTAATTAAAGGGATCTATGAGGGTTCTATAGGGATCTATAAGGATCCATAAGGGTCTTATAAGGGTTTTTAGGGTTGCTTGAAGGATCGCGGGACTTGGGGTTCCAAAGAGTACACTTGTGGGACTTTGGCTCACAAATAGTAACCAAGGTACCTGGGGTCATCTCCCTTTCTGAAGAGTACATTGCTTCCTCTGGGTAGGGTTTACTTTAATGACTCAAGTCATAATCAGGAACACGAAAGAAGTAGGTTCTTTAGGGTTTAGGGTGAAGGATCAGAAGCTTAGGGCTTAGGCTGGAGCCCCTTTCTGAAACTCCCATATAGGTTGCAACCAATAGTTAGGGCGCGGTTTGCCACCATGATCCGACAAAGCTCGTTGAAACCCAGCGTGTACATGCAGTTTCCGCTCGTTTCGAGGCTTGGATAGCTCCCACTAGAACGGGGCGTGCACTTGCAGTTCTTGTTTGTTTCAGTGCACGTTTGCTTCACTTTGTGCGAAGAGTCTCGTGCCACGCGCAGATTTGACATATCGGGTTGTGCTCGTTCAAAACCGGCGTGCAGTTGCGGATCGCAGTCTGTGGGTCGACTTTTCGCGGATGGGTCGACTTCGCACGAATCGGGGCGTGAGCTTGGGGAGGGCCGACTTCACACAACATGGGTCGACTTAAGCCCAGTGCCTAGTAGGTGAATTCAGGGTTTAGTGTGTCGGGAAAAACGTTACAAATCTGTCAGCCTGAACTACAACCCGATTTTTTCGTGGTTCTTCAGGTGATTTCAAGGTTCCTTGTGTTTGAATCGACCATATCATATGCAGGAAGAGACAACACTAGATATTGCTTCTTTTCCACAACAACCGTTTATTTGTTTCAGCTGTGGCTTTCGAAAGCAAGGCGGAACTCCACTTCCACTCGCCCGCACGGTGCATGAACCGTCGGTTTTCCCCAGCGCTCGCGGCATCAAAAGCAGCCAGATGGGATGGCTTCACGTTGGTTTTAGATAGCTTCTGACCGTAGTCAGTTCGATTTACTAGAGGTCTTCAATTCCCTTCTTCCGGGCCGTGTAGGGTAGAGCTAAGAGCATGGGCCCCGAGCCCGGTACCATGAGAATCCTGATCAAATTTGATCCACGTCCGAGACCCCTAGGCCCAAAGCCCTAAGGTTCGGACCCTAGAAGCCCTGGCAAGAGCTGGGCATCGCCACCGGCCCCAGGATGGGTATTGCCGTGTGGAGACACATGGAAACGAGGTTCGGATTGGTGGCGTCTTCCGCGTGCTTTTTTTCTTTATGTGGGGTTTCAGAGGTGGCTTACTTGGAGGATCGGGGGACTTAGTAAGTAGGTAGTAAGTAGAGTTACAAGTACCCTTAAAAGTCTATGAGACTGATAAGTCTATAAGATAACTAGTTGCTAAGGCCCCCGACCCTCCAAGTAGTGGCTTCAATTACGAGAGGGGTGGGGATGATTGTTCATTTTTATCTCCCCAAGCCCCTGGAATATCAAGATTATGATCACCCCCCCCGCCTCCAAGAAATACAACGATTAAGGCCGCCTAGACCCTTGTAGTACTCCCGACGAGTCAAGTTTGACCTGGTAAACCAAATCAATCTAGCGACCAAACCCCAAAACCGAAACTCTCAAACCCGAAACCCTAAAAACAGATCCCTCACCGTACTTTACAAGACCCTCAACGTGTACACCCTGAGCCGAACTTCGAGACCCAGAACCAAACACTTAAATCAACCT